ATGTTGTCAAATCTACAATAACCTCTGAATTCAGACAAACTGGAATCGCGGCGGATAGTTGAATACGGGCGACGACTGGGGTTTTGGTGTGTGAGATACGTAGGGGACCTCCGACTAGGAAAAAGGGATGGATTTTGGTGTGTTAATTTGGGCGTTTTAATTAGGATTCCTTTAGAGAAAATTGGGCGGGTATTGGGTTATGGGGCGGATAGTTGGGTTATGGGTTAAAAAAAGGGGTCAAACGGGTAGTTCAATAGGATTAAGACACGTGTAAGAAATTAGGGGTCCGTTAGTGAGAGGGGTATATGTGTACCTATAATTGGACGGCAGGGGCTTATGTGGACGCAAAGTATAACGGAGGGCATAGACGTACCATTTATTAAAGTTCGGGGGTAAATCCGTCCCTTTTCCCCTTATATTGTTGTATCCGTTTGAGGGATTTCTATAATTATAAACTTTTAAGGGATATATTGTAATTTTGCCTTAAAAGTATGTGATTTTTGTAATTTGCCAATTAATTAAATAAACATATTTATTCTAAGTGATATCATATACTATAACAATTTTATGTAGCATATGATATTTTAAATGTATGTAATCAAGTTAAAAGATATAGGCCAAACACATATGCAGACCCTTAAACTTGTCCCTAAATTTCATTTTGGCACTCCAACTCAACCTTGTTCCATTTTAACCCTTCAACTCCAATTTTTATGTTCCATTTTGGTACTTTTTTCCAAAGAATCAGCAAAGTGGGATGTGTGTACTTCACATGCCATTATTGTGTTAAAAAATAATAGATGAACATCATTTTTTTTTAAAATATATTTTTTTTAGAGATTCTGTACATTATTGTGTGAAAAAATAATCGGTGAAAGTGTGTTGTTTTTTTTAAAAAAAACAATTAGTTAATTTAAATAACATCACATATTTATTTTTTTTCATATCTAGTCTACTTGGACTAGCTCAAATATAAGCTTTCTAATTTTCCATTCAACTAAATACGAGTAAAAAAAAAACTCATGTTCATTGCTAATTAATAACACTACAAAAAAATGTTGAAACTCGATAGACTTCTTTGGGTTGTCATTGATTTTTTTAAGAAAGAAAATCGACGCACTTTCGTCGGTTATTTTTCACGCAAAAATATAGGAAAACTCTTAAAAAGAAATTGTTACTTTTTTTATAAAAAAATCAATGATAATCCGTCAATTTTAATTTTTTACAATAATTAACAGATGATCGTCGATTTTTAAAATGCAAAATTGCAGTTGAATAACATATATAGAAATAAAGAAATCATAAAATTAGTATTTTGTGTTAAATGTTACATAAAAGAAATAGAGTTGAAGGGTAATCTTTTTATTATTTTTTTTTAAAATACTTTATTTTTGTCTTTCACTCTCTTAGAGAATGTGTGATGCACACTCTCTGCCACATCACTTAGAAGTGCCAAAATGGAACATAAAATTTGGAGTTGAAAGGTTAAAATGGAACAAGGTTGAGTTGGAGTGTCAAAATGAAATTTAGGGACAAGTTTAAGGGTCTGCATATGTGTTTGGCCAAAGATATACTAGCATTTATATTTTATAATACCTGCAAACAAATTATTTACCCCAAAGATAAAAATAAAAAAATCAAACACAAAGTAAGGACAAAAGTGGAAATAACCAGATAAAGTTGCATGAATGATGAATTGGATTGGGTGAAGAAAAATCCAAAAAAGGTCGTGCCCACTACTCAACAGGATTCGGGTACGGATTTACTGTACCCGACACGAATGACAGGGATGCACGTGGAATCATATACGGTGGGTCCCATCTGAGTTGACTGCTGAATGCACCATTTTCGTACCCACACTACTCTAACTCCTACAATATTTAGGCACCATACTATGCAAAAGTTACCACCATAATAATTGATAAGGTTAGTCGTTATTTTTTTTAATTAGAAATCTCGATTTTAATTTTTTAATAAAAAAATATCACTCTTGATCGATCCTATCCGGTACAAATACAGATTAGATGGAGTGTCGGACTACAGTGCAAAGTTATGTAAAAATTCCTAATATTAAATATAATTAGATGAATATTGTCAATTTGTGTATATCATGATACCACGACCAATGTAATATAGGTAATTATAAGTGTTAGCTAAAGGTAAAATCACATGTAAAAAAGTAAAGATCGACAAATCATTGGTGCTAATGCATATATATATACTAGCTAAAGATAAAGATATAATGGATGGAAAAACCCTAAACTAACCCTTAATTTAAAGAGAAAATACATAAAAACCCTCTTAAACTTGACATGAGAGCACAACTTACTTTAACATTTAAACTACACGGGTGTTTAAATACCCCTTTAACATCTTTGAAGTGAATTTAATACAATTCTGAGAATAGAATACCACTCTCACCTAGCACATCATAGTCATGTAAGCACCACATCACAACCATGTAAGCACCATGTCATTAATTTTCAATTTTTTTTTTGCTTATTACCTTTTTTTCTTAAACATTTTCTTAAAATTCATTACACTAATCAATTAATTAAAATGTATTTTTAAATCAAAATTGCCCATCTTCTTCCACCCCTTCTCTTCTAGAGTCCGAAACCAAAAGGGCAACAAATTTTTTCGAAAATTCCAAAAGGGCAACTCAATTAATTATGAAACCAAAAGGGTAACAATTTTAAACACCGCTTAAATTAGATTTTCTAAAATGAGGCTCAAATTTCAATGAGCCTTACAAGGCTCAAATTCCAATGAGCCTTGTAAGGCACAGCCGCCAATGAGCCTTGCAGGGTTTTTTTTAAAAAAAATGTTGTGCCTTACAAGGCTCATTGGCGGCTGAGCCTCGTAAGGCTCATTGGAATTTGAGCCTCGTTTTAGAAAACCTAATTTTAACGGTATTGTTATCCTTTTGGTTTCATAATTAATTGAATTGCCCTTTTGGAATTTTCGAAAAAATTTGTTGCCTTTTTGGTTTCGGACTCTTCTCTTCTACCCCCCCTCCCCTTCTTCTTTCTTGATTTTCACCACTTTCAACCTTCGCTAGCTTCTTTTTTTTCCCCAAATTTCCAGCCTTCAATAGTTATTTTCTTCTTCAACATTCGTCAATTTTTATTTTTTTTTAAAATACTACACTTACTTTTTCTTCTTTGAACCCTCTCTCTCTCCCACAAATTTGCCTCTTGGAGAATAATATTTTTTGAAAGTTATTTTTTTTCTTAACAACTCAAATGAAAAATGAAGGTTGTATAAGAAAGTTGATAGACCCACATTTTTTGCATCACAACTAATAGAATTCAAAATGAGTTACTTATATTCAAGAAAGTTTACATTCAATAATATGAATTAGGTGGTGAATTTTGTGATTAGTGAAGGGCGGGTGAGGTGGGAGATGAAGGAAAAATTTTGGTATGGAAGAAGAAAGCTATAAGGAGTGCTTCAATTGGAAAGAAGACATTTGGGGAAGACAACAAAATAATGAGAGAACAAAAAGATTAAATATTTTTTAAAAAAATTGAACCCACAAATTTCATTTACTTCTAAACAAGAAATTTCACATTTTTTTTTAACTTTAAGTTATAAAAAAAAATTAAAAATTATTAGTTATATATTGATCAATAATAAAATGTCATGTGTATGATTTTACTTTTCAGTCTTTTTATTTTTATTATTTCACGCACTTTGAGGAGAGTGAATACACTCACTTTGCCACGTCAGCTCTTAGGGTGGTATTTAATCAGTTCAGAATTGTTAACAATTTAAACGCCTAAAGTAAATTTTGCTGTCAAGTTTATATTATTATTTTTTATGTATTTTCTCTAATTTAAATGAAGAAGTGATAATGATTTATACAGCTAACCTCGTTTTGGTTGAAACTAAGGTGTAATAACTATATATTCTGTATATTAATAGCTCTCACCTGCTTTTCAACAGAACCGAAACTAAAGTTTCAAACTTTATATGAGTTTCAAGTTTAAACTAATGATTTTCATAACTAGGTTCTGAATATAATATTAACGCATGCATATTTAATAAAAAATTTTAAACATAAATAATGGTATTGGGTTCAGCCAACTCATACTTGTACCATTGTACTTTTAGCTTCGCCCCTATTTCTCAACCAAAAGATCCCTAAATATAGTTTTTTATTCGTTTCAATTTATTTATTTGATTTTAACTTGGTATGAAGTTTAAAAAAGAAAATTTATCTGATTTAATGCCTTGAGATTCAAAACTTTTATTTACTTTCTCAAACTTCATACTAAATCAAAATCATACAAATAAATTGAAATGGAAAAATAGTGTTAGAGACCCTCTTTTCTTCCTGTAGAAACAGTTGCAAAAATTTATAGTAAATGCGAGCTTTGATTTTCTGTCCCCTACTTCAGAAGAGTACACTACTATATATATATATTTATTTATTTATTTGTGGTTTTGAATTTATGTGTATTCTCTCTCTCTCCAATGTATTTCATAGACCTTTCTTAAGGATTCAAGTAATTGATACATTAATTTCATGAATAATTAAGCAGTTGCACTTAATTGATTTACTTCCCTTTTTTTTTAAGCTCATTTAAAAAGAATGTTTTTCCCCCTTTTTAGAAATATTTTAATTCTAACTTTCCAAATGACAAGCTTAAGATTACTAAATTGAAGGATATTTTGATATATTTGACATATCTTTAATTTAAGATTATGAGATTTAAAAGTCTTCATTATTTTCTTATAATTAGTATCAAGTCAAAATATGTCAAACAAATTAAAATTGAGGGAGTTTGAAATAAAGTATATATATAGAACAAAGTAAAAAGGCCAATATAGCACCGCACAAGTTTAATTTATTAAAATTTCTGATTTCGTCACTATTTGAACCTCAAATTAATCCCCATGGTTTTGCGCGGCCTGAAGGTAAAGCTGCTGAATAGTCATAACTCAAATGGTAATACACCTTTACCTTTTAGAGGGAAAAATAAAAACAAAAACAAATGATAGTGAGCTAAATATATGTAAAATATACTGAGAAAAAAAAATTAAGAGTAAATTATATAGGTATTATGGAGTACTCATTTAAAATTATGATCATGACTATAGTAATAGTAACTCTTATCAAATAATTAATATATGGATATCTTTACAAGTCAAGTAACTCATTGATATTTCTAACATCTTCAATCTCAAACAAGTTGGAATCAACTAAATTTTTCTTATTTGAACAAAGAATATTTAACTATTCTAGCTTCATTCCTTTGTTTTATTCTCTCTATAATTATATCATGCTAAAATATAGTCTGATCTGGTCCATTAGCTTGTGGTCGTTAGCCTTTGTCACATATAATGAGCAGTTTTTGCTTCAAGAAAACAAAGACCATACACTACATCAAAAATGATCTTTAGCGATAATTAATTAACAACAATAGTTCAATTGTCACTAAATATGTATGTATTTTTAGCGGCAATTAACGCTCTTTGTGTATGTCCCTAAAGTCTTGTGCGACATTGAATCTAATGCCACTTAATTTATGCAGATAAAGACTTTAACACTTTTTATAATGTGTCTATTTATTGCCGCTAAAAGTTATTTTTGTGATAGTTATATGCCAACTTTCACTTCAATCCGAGTAATTAGAGACAGTTCAATCAAACATACTAGGATCTTGCTTTATAGATGTGACCCTGATTTTTCTTTATTGTCCAGCTTAAGTTGTCTGGACTTCTCAAAATTGTTATTGTATTTGTATTGGATTTTTCAAAATACACTATTTTGGAGTATATGACAAAAACTAATCGATATTTTTAAAGAATTTGAGCAACATATATAGGTATAATCTAAGATTAGCTAGAAAAAATAAAAGTAAAAAAGGAGATAAATACAGTATTTTTTTCAAGTGTAACATCATAATGTTGTGTAGCAATTTCATTAACGTTCTTAGTAAGAAGCATGAACAGGTTTAGTATAAGAGCATGCAACAATTGGAAAGTACATTAAAGCTGTAAAAGTTGGAAAGCGGAAGAGCAAAAGAATGTATATTATGAGGTCTTAGATTCAAATTTCATTGGAAACAAAAACATTAAGCAATTACTTTTCATTTGCCTAAATCTCGAAAGAGATATTCGGCATGCATTAGTATTGATAATAGATAACATATATTCATAAAATTAATCGCGCACAAATTAATCCAAACACCCTGAGTATAAATTATTATTAGCAGGAATCTTACATTGTGTTCATGGTTCCAAACTTCCGGGACATTTGCTACATAGGAATAAGGGATAATATATAATTACGGGATAAAAAGTTATTTATTGGGATATTAGTTAGTAATGAAATTATTTAAATCATCATTATCTGGTGAAGTATCTCAATTAATATAATATAGAATAACTTTATCTATCCCAATAGGCCAATACCCATACAAACAACCCCTTAAAAAATTAAACCATCAAATTTTAGCATTTGAATCTTCTTTTAACTTTTTTGGCATATTTATTGTCTGTAAATGACTTGACACTTTTGTATCTCATGAATGGCAAAAGTTGATACCAAAATCTATTCGATTGAAGCAAAAATGGTAAAGAAAACAATAATTCAACGTTCAGGTTCACCTGATAGTGGTGGCGATGACAGTGGCAGTTGTTGTTGCGGTGGTGGTGGAGGAGGAGGGCGTTTCCGTTTTTTCTTCTTCTCGTAACTAACTCCCCTCGCTTTGGACTGCAAATCACGAACCTCGCGAAGATAAAGCCTAACAGCACGAGCACCAAAAGGGTTCGTCTCCGGCTTCCCTCCATTTTCTTCATAAGCCGCTCTAAGTCGTCCTACCAGTGCGTCAAGGCTCCCCCAAGCTTGCTTTAGCGGACACGGACACGGTGCTGGCGGATTCGGATGCCCATAAAACGGACACATCTGAATCACAAACGGCTGAAAAAGTTATATATTACTCCCTAAACATCACAATTGAATATTTAAAAGCTTTTAGTCAAACAGTATCACATAAATTGAGGAGTTGAGAGATATATATATAGTACCAAATGTAAGATCGATGTTTATGAGTTTCTTCAGTAACAATAGATTAATATACAATTTTAAATTGAGTTCAATTCAAATATTTTTAGTTATTTTAATACATATACAAAATTTAAGCAAGAAGTTACTGAATTCTGGAGAGAATATAATCGGATAATCCTACCGGAGTATGAACTTTAGTCTTGCCGAATTGATCAAGGTAACGAAGGAATTCAAGGACGTGAGCACCACTGCATCTAGAGAGCGTGAGTGGAGGCCTGTGGTTTCTCAGGTACTGACCGAACGTGTTCCAATCCCGCCGCTTCTGATTTTCATATCTGCTACTTGAGCTAGCTGGTGCCGCCGGTGCAGCAGCAGATGAAGAAGAAGAAGTTATCTCGATGTTGTTAACTGTTTCGATGTTGATTTTCTCCTGAGGATGATGATTCGAATTCTCAACTAATTCCGTAAAAGAAGCCATAAATACGTCTTTAGGATCGATCTTTATCTTCCTTATTCTAGATCGGTCGCTTTATTGATTTTGTTACTGTTCATCGTCAGAGTAACAAAATTATAAAAAAAAAAGGAAAGTGAAGAAATATTCGTATGTTTGAACAATACTAGAAAAAATTGGAAGAGTACTGGTATAGCTAGTTTTGTTTTTTTCTGAAAATGATCAATAATTGGTACTTTTTCTTTAGCTAAAATTGGGGAAGCAATTTTTTTTTGGTATTAATGGGGTAGAGAAGAGAGAGCAGAGGGGGAAGTGTACTGTTTGTTTAGGGTTTATATGGAAATGAAATGGAAGGGAGTGAAAATATAATGTGATATAAAGGGAGTAGGACATGTTGTTTTCTTCCATTTATGCCAAGTACCAAAATGCCCTTGCTACATGTGAGAAATTAAATAGTACTGTTCTATAATTAATTACTCCCATTCTCTACTAACTACTACTCCTATATATTCATTTATAAATATAAAACTTGATATTTGGTTGACAATTATGGGCATGATGGACTTTTTTGTGTGTTTAATCACCTTAGCTTATTTAATTTTTTTTGGATCTAACTAGTTTAGGTTCCAACAGTTTAAATAAAAAGGGTGTATGTCAAACATTAGATATTATGGTAAGATGTTCTACTGTTAATACAAGTTTTTTGGTCTAAGTTTTGGAATGAAAAGAATTTTAATTAGTAGCATGGAGAGTGTTTTTGTGTTTTAATGAAACTGCATGCGACACAAATTTTATCGAATATCAAATGAAAAAAAGAGAGTTATTTGTATGGATACACTCTTTATTGCCAACTTTCAAACCCACATATTTGATTAAGTAGGTGCTTGGCCATGCGATACTATTTCATGATATGGAATTGTGAGATGAAATCAACGTTTGGACATGCAATTTCACGTTGATTCCATCTAATGATTTCATATCATGAGATGAAATTCCATATTCTCCAAAAATCATGATTTGGAAATTCCATATCATGATTTGAGATTTTTTAAATACAAAAATTGACCCACAAGTTTATATTTTGTTAAAATAACACCACATTTATATCTACTAACCATTTATTTCATATGTAAATAAAATTAATAACCACATCATTACTTTTTAAAATTTATTATTCTCACCAGCATAAAATTTATTATTATTTTAAATTTGGTAAACATGAATGATAAAGTATGAATTGATTTGGTATAAATAAGAACGGAGGAGTAATACTTTTTTGGTTATTCATAATAATAAAAACTTCTCTTTCCGCTACATATGAAAATGTTTAAAGCAATTTATTATGAAAGAGGATAAAATTGGTGATGTATGTTTGATAATCACTACTTCCAATATGTTTGATTTTAGCACAAATTAATGCACTGAAAATGTGTAATTGCACGCAAGTGAAACAAGGCATGAACATTATGATATTGACACACAAGTGAAAATTGTCATAGCTTGTAGTATTACATAATTATTTGCAAGAATACCAAAAGAGTGGTGAAATTTTATGGTCTATGAACATGAAAATATAGTTGCGAATGATATTGACCAACAAATGACTCAAAGTAGCAATGTTGGTTCATCTTCTAGGTCATATGATCGAAAAATGCAAGCTCAACGTGAGAAGATTGATTGTACTATGTGGGAGGATTATATTAAGACTAGTACACTACAATTTATGTTCAATTTTTTTTATTTGATTAAAGTTTGATCAATTAAAGTTAGATGAAACAGTTACTTAAGTGGAGAACAAATAACTTTGTAATAATTTATTATGAGATTTTATAAAAAATTGTTTATTTGGTAAGATTGAATAAACAAATGGGGCTATTTTAATAGTTTTACAACTTATGATATTCTTATGTTTATGAGAAAATATACAACACAAAAATTACATATCGAATGACCAAACGGGTCCTAAGAGTGGAGAAATCTAAAGTATCACACACGGTAGGAGTCCCAAACATTCTGCTCGGAGTCCTTTTAAGTTGGACTAGAAATTTCAGGTTCAAATTTTAGTAATGAAGAATAACTTAGTAGTTAACATTTTTCACATGAGCTTATTAAGCACAAATCCTAGTTAATTGTTTATTAGGTTAGTAAATTTTGAATATTAAATGAATAAATAAAATAAAAATATCAAAAATATATATTATTTTCTCTTCATTTACATCTTAAATAACATGAGAGTCCTTTGAAAATACAGTGAAGTTGTTTGTGAAATTATTTTAATAAAATATAAATTGTTCGAGACCAATAGTTTTTACAAATTGCTTTATTTTCTGTCGTCCATATTAAAGACAAAACCACATGGTTTCTGGTAGTTAATTATTTGAGGGTACAAAAATTAAAAAAATACATATGTTTATCACAGTTTATGTGAAGAAAAAACGTTGGCTTTCCTTTCATAATAAAGTCTAATTAGCTAGAGAGATAGGACGGAGTATATATATATATATATATATATATATAAAATAATAGAATTGGCTAATTAATTATCATATCTGAATTTACGCCGAACGAGCCATGCACTGTTACAACTTACGTACGCACTTCCCATCACCTAATTTTCTCTTATATTCTCTCTTCCTTTTTAGTCATACTTGTTTTCTGCTTCATAAATATATTTAGTGAAATCTCATGACTTTATCGAATTTAAAAATAACAAAGTGTAGATAGTTTAAATATACCCTTAAATTATATTTCAGCTCAAAAGTGTTCTTCCTGTCTATTTATTAGGCCACACTTATCCTTCTCTTTAACGGAAGAGTTATGTTGATGTGTGTATTAAAATGCCACATGGACCTCCACATGTGCCGCCAACACACCCACCTCCACATAGAAGCCCTAATTTCACTCATTTCTTCCCACATTTTATCCTTTCACAAGGCCCAATTTCACCCCTTTCCCTCATTTCATCCATTTCTCCATTAAAAGACCTAAGAAGCTTTTATTTAAAAGAGAAAGGGATGAAACAAGGGAAAGGGATGAAATTGGGATTGGTGAAAGGATGAAATGTGGGGAAAAGGAGCGAAATTAGGGCTTCTATGTGGAGGTGGGTGTGTTGGCGTGTACATGTGGAGGTCCATGTGGCATTTTAATACACACATGGATGCCACATCACTCTTCCGTTAAACAAAAGGGTAAGTGTGGTCCAATAGTTAGATGGGAAGGACACTTTTGAGCCGAAATATAGTTTAAGGGTATATTTAATCTATTTTGAATAGTTTAAGGGTAGTTTTGACCTTTTTCCGATTTTAAAATATTTAATTTTTATATTAGTATTATATGTGTAAGTTAATTGACCAAATTCATATTACATCATACTTAAAGTCTTTTTTATCATTGAAGATTCTTCTATGTCGTTTGATTTATTTGTATTATTATTACCTTAAGCACGTCGCAACTTGCAATGAAATGATTCATTTTTTAGATTAATTAGGTAAATACTCTAATTTATTCGTGATTTGATTAATTTAATTAATTATGTGAGATTATTTCTCATATTTTATAAATTACGTCAATAATAAAGTCAATGTAATTGATCCTACAAGTATTATGTAAGGAGGGTATAGTGTATGCAAATTTTATACTTATCTTGTGAGGATAGAGATATTGTTTCTGAAAAACCTTCAACTCAAATATATCATAACAAAAATAAATCTTAAAATTGCAAATTAAATAAGTTGATAGAGTTTTGTTTTCAATCAAAATTTCTGGATATAAGAAGAACATGAGAATTGAAATATACATTTGCGTCATTATTAGTTCAATAGTTTGGAAATATAAATACTACGTACAAATGGAGTAATTTTTAATGCATTGAAGTAAATGAATCAAAAGACTAGACCCCAGCTATAGCCCTAACTCGTTTATTGGTTTCTAACCACCATTTATAGGTCTGCAATTCATACATGTTGATCATGTGTACACGTATTAATTGATAGTCTAATATCATTTTCTTAAACAATTGTTATGAATAACAAACTTTGAGCTACCATTCGTTGTAAAATTTAAAAATTATCTACAAATATTTACGTGATCATAAATTTTGATTAAAGAATGAAAATCTAATTTCACACATTTTACTTCTACCTATAAAACTTAAATTAAGTAAAATGCACACAATTTCAAGTTCTGAAAAGCATAACTTCAAAAACTCTTAACTTCTAAGGTTTCAATTTAAAAAAACATGCAGGGCCAAAAGAATATTTTGAATTTATATCAGTATATACTCGAGTCAAAAGTTTATTGGAAACAATCTTATTCTCTACTTCGTAAGATATGGATAAAGTTTTCTTACACTTACTCTTCACAAATCCAATTTATAATTTGTAAGATTACATTGAGCATATAATCCGAGGAGGAAAAATCATTAAAAAAAATGTCACACAAATTTAATATACAAACAACGTATCTAGTGAAATCCACTAAGTAAGTGATAATTGAATCACAATAAATAACATATGACCCGAATTATAAGGGTGCGACTAGTACACAAACACTTATAGACAACACTCTACCTCTACTAACCTTCTATCCTACTATCCGATCCCCATTGTTTCCTGTCTACATACATGTTTTCGGTATTATGAAGATGCGCCATGCATGTCCTATCTAATCAACTCTCCCACATACATTTTTGGCCTACCTTTACCCCTATGAGTACCCTCAATAACTTTCTCTCTTACGAATAGTCTGTGTGACAAGCCTCACTTCCACATTTGCTTTATACATCACGTAACACTGAATTTGCACTCCAAATATTCTATCTTGATTATATATACTCAACCTAAAACCTTTGAACTCCTAAGTTTATCTCCAAACCTTCAGTCTATCATTAACTTTGTTCTCATTAATCAGTAACATGTCATCAACACATAAAATACACTATGAAATATCATCCTAAATTGACCGTGTGAACTCATCAATCACCAAGGCAAATGAGGAAAAAGGTAAGATCATTGATGGTGTAGCCCCATGTCAAATGGGAATTACTTTGAGTCTCTTCCCATCGTTCTAATCCGAGTCTTGACTCCATCGTACATGTCATTTATCACCCTAATATAAATCATTAGGACACCTCTAAAGGATAACTCTCGAGACTTTGTTATAGGCCTTTACAAGATCAATGAACATTATATGTAGGTCCATCTTTCTTTCTCTATAATTTTCTATCAATCTTCGTACAAGATGAATGACTTCAACAATCGATTATCCCAACATGAATCTAAATACTCGTGGTGACTGGCAAGAAGGCAAATGAAATGATCTTTTTTGACCAATTATAGGTAGAAAAAAAAAGGGTCATA